AATTTTATACAAAATATGAGTTCAGCTAATTAAAATATACTATCAGGCTCAGAGCTTTAACTTGCATTTGAAAGATTATTCTCTAGACTTTTTGGGGATAAAGACTGGAATTGGAACTACCTATCAATTGAATTAGAGCTTCAAATTCAATGGGTTTTGATTTTTACTATTGTATTAGACATAACCCTCAGCACTAATGTTCCAAAGATAAATAAAGCTTAATTTCCTTCCTCAATGTAGAAAATAGATTATTTCAACCCTCAGTGGCATATCCAATAATAAAGGCAAGCACAAGTTTCAGTGGAACAACAGAAAAGAACAGATGGACCAGTGATGGAATCCAAATCGAATCCTGAAAGGTCATGATGCTAGATCAGAAGCTTAAAGATGTATCCTAAGGTAAAAAACTAATGGAATAAGGACAGAAGGATCTGAATGTCAAGAAAGAAATTACAGACAGAGACAACTATAAGCAGAGATGAAAGAGGTAAACAAATAGCATGAATTGTAGAGGGTTATAAAAAGCCAGTAACAGTTAAGAGCAGATATGTAGCCTTTGGGTTACAGGCAAACCCTCTAGAACCAGACTTCCCATTCATATCCCAGCTCTAAAACTATTCATTTCTAACTGTGCATAGGTCATTTAACCCTCTTGTGCCTCACTTTGCATTTTTAGAAAATGAAAGTGCCTAGGTCTATTATCCTACAAGGGTACTACCATCCAGATTAAATGTGCAAGATGTTTATACAAGCAACTGGTATGTAGTAAGCACTCAATAAATGTTCCCATCATTATTATTAAACTATAAAAAGAAGACAGTCGAAGCAGCACATTCTACAACCAACCCTTGACACAAATTCTATTTCTAACCTCAACCTATAGTGTCACAAGTGACAAAATACAAAGCAAAGAATCAGGGCTACCAATGTAAATGTATTTGCAACGCCCCATCAAAGTTCATCAACTTTCCTTTTGCAGCATATATATTTATACTCTCATCTTGAAGATAATATTTTTTGTTTTCCTTCATCTGTAGTGATTGGCAAATTGCCAATTAGAAGTAACTGAGTCAAGGGCACTGTTTCAAACTTACAATGCAATACAGATTCCCTGTTAAAAGGCAAATCCTTCATTTCAAATTGTTGACTCAGATAATACTTACAAAAGAATTACAGCTGTTTAAATTTAGAATGCTGAGAAAAACCAATCTTAAAATACTGTTTGGCATTATGCCCACAAGATTTTCATTTTATTCCTTGTTAGTGTTTATCTTCTGTGTTAAGAAGACAAGTGACAGTAATCATGTTATTCTCCTTAACACTTCAGATTTTACCTAAATGAACTATTTTGTTTTTATCCTCACCAGTTAAAGATGGCTTTTCATTTCCTGGCAAATTTTCAGCAAGTGATTATGCAAGAACCAGTGAGATTTCTACACAATGTTTTACTTCTTCAGTCATCAGCAGGCCTTTCTTCCCCACTTCCCTTTGAATCATCACTTTTATTCTTTAAAAAAATGTATAAAGGCTATTTTCTGGAGACAAACCTAATCTAATTTTTAGAATCAGACCTTATAAGTACTTAAAGAACTGTTTTATATCTGTTCTTTATCTATCTATCCCACATACCAACCAGAGTTTGTTTTTTAGCATCCCTCAGGACACAGTTTCTGGACAAGTTCTCATACCAGTCTCCCACCATGATAAGCCAGCCTCCACTTATTTTCCTTTTATCCCTCTTGGTTTTGGGGCTTTCCTACTTTTTCCCTTCTGGCATCCCTTCCCTCCATTAACTCCATCATTTTCCTTCCTGGCAAAGATGTCCTGAGCTTCATTCCCATGGTTCATGAAGCCACAGTAGAACACTTTACTTGGAATAGTTGAATGTGTCAAGTTTGGATTTGGGGTCAATTCAGATTCTAATTTGAGTGGATCAAATCTTGGGTATCAGTGGAGGAGGGAGTTCTCTCCTGATGGCTATGATTTCTCAAGCACTCTCAACATTCTGCATCTACAGAACAGCAAGCTCACTCCACTAGAATATGGTATGGTAATATTTTTTTAATTTTTATTTATTTTTTTACTTATTTTTGAGACAGAGAGAGACAGAGCATGAGTGGGCAGAGAGAGAACTCCTTCTCAGAACAGAGAATCTGAAACAGGCTCCAGGCTCTGAGCTGTCAGCACAGAACCCAATGTGAAGCTCAAACCCACTAACCATGAGATCATAACCTGAGTCGAAGTCTGACGCTTAACCGACTGAGCCACCCAGACGCCCCAGTAGTGTACCATTTTAATAAAACAAAGCGGCAAAGTGATTAATCTTAGCCCACCAGTCACTAAATATACTGCTTTAGGCAATTTGCTTATTTACTCTGAGATTAAGTTTCTTATAAATGGGAGTAAATGTGGCTGTTACCCCCAAAATGAGAAGACATATTTAAAGTACTAAAATTACTTGGAAAATATTCCTCAACTGTATGATGAGTAAATCACACATGCAAATAAATGAAGGAGCTATCAAGAGGTTGAATCTACTTCATAATCAATACCTAAAGGTGAACAAAGGCATAGGATTGTTACTTGAGGTCTGATTTTGTGTTGGTGTTTTAAAAGAGAGAGAAAATGTTATGAATGGGAGAGGAGCAATAGGAAGAGCCTTCTTTACATTCTTGCCTAGATCTTCCACCAGGCAGATGCTCCTAGGCTAGAAGTATTACCCTTAAGAGAATATTACAACACTATGATACATACATAAGTAAAGTTCTGTTCCGGAGGCCAGCAATGAGGAGAAGCATCCAGGAAAGGATATTCTTAATGTCATTTGAAGCCTATACATCAACATCATAGTCATTATTAGCAGGGACCAGCAGCTATCTTTGGCTTGTCTGACTATAACTCTTCCTTTTTCGATAGTGTGCAAGGAAAGCATGAGTCATAGGGTAACTGCTTAGTTCAGACACCTTTCTCGCAAAACTTACCAATGGTTTAAACCTTAAAATAATTGCTTTATTTCAAAAACAGTTTTGAAAATCTTCACCTCAGACATAACATGAGGTGTAACATGAGGTTTATCATGAGGACTATCAAAATATGAAGAAGTATTCCCCAAACTCGACTCTGCCTACCTATGTTTCTATCTGTAAAGCTATTCTGATAACTCCTTTTCAACTCCAACTCCTAGTGATTCCATTCAGGGTGGGACTCAACCTGACTTTTCTTCTCTTTAGCCAATATTTGAGATTCAGGTAAGGATCTATTCTAGAGTTGCTTACAAACTAGCTCCAACCATATTCTTTTAGTCTTGGTATAGATGCTTTCTTTCCCATTTTATTGCTGCCTAAAAATTTTAGCCACCCTCATGTATGCACTATTACAGTATGTCCTCTGGATGATGTTTTATTCAGTGACTTTCAAAGTCATATGTAGAATTTTGCACCAAGAAATAGGTATGGATGGAATAGGTTACCTGTAACTAACTGGGTATTTCCATAATGACAAGAATATTGTATGGAGAACCCTAGGATGAGTAGGTGAAGTAATTCAAATTAAACTCAGGATATATTTTATTTCTTAAGATAATGAAGACTAGGTAGATTTGAGAAGGGGCATAATACAATTAAAAACTAAAATAATTGGCTAAGAGTGATCCTTAGTTTCTCTTTTCTAATGACAGAATTTTAGAATTATTTTGCACTTCACAATAGTTGTTTCATAAGTTTTGACACCTCTTTACCCTACAGAATTTATAACAGCACAAAGAGTCTCCAGCTTAAAATCCTGGATTGCGTTTTTGGATAACCTCTGTTTTTTCATTAGTCTTTCTTGGAGAAAACTATAGTAATACAGTATTTTTCCCCAGTGATCCTATAACTAGGTCTAATATTTTTTGGTGAAAAAATGTTCTTTCTGCCTGGGAGATTCCTTCTTTTTTCTTCATTGCAAAATTCTGGTCAGTGTAAAAGAAAGCTTGGTTAGAAATACACCAACATTTTTAGGTTAATTATTCCTGGTTTCACTCTAAAAAAGACCTTTAGTATTCTGCCTGAATTCACATTTATTTGGTCATTTGCTTTACAATGGGCTGGCTGTGTCACTGACCTGTTTCTACCTCCTTTTAAGAGTTTGTGATCTGCAATTTGAGCAACCAGTTGAAGTAGTTTTGCAAAAGTTTTGTTTTTGTTTTTGTTTGATTGGTTTTTTGGTTTTTGGTTTGTTTTTTTTTTTGTTTTTTTGTTTTTGTTTTTGTTTTTGTTTTTTTAGCCTTCATTTTATTTCACCAGGAACCACAATACTGCTTGGTTCTAAGTATAAAGCCATCTATGTAAAAACCACCACTTTGAAATCAGGAGGAAGGGACTGTTTAGCAAGTGGAGTTGATTGCAGTAGTAAGAAACTGGGGAAATCCAGCACTTCCACTCACTAAAGAGTATTTGAATGTTTATCGTGTCATCAGGGTCGCCTAGGCTGTTGTCGCCTGGCAGTTACCTAGAGACCTATTTCACATTTTAACTGAACAAAGTAAATCAAAGATCTTTGCTTCATTTTGTTTGTTGGATTGCTTCTTTATTTTGCAGATCAGGAACGAGCCTGGAATGAATTTGTAACAATTAGCTGGGCATTTGAAAGTCTACGCTGGCCTCTTCACGAATTTTCTTTTGAAAAAGCAAACTGCCATCCATTGGTAACTTTCAGGAGCACGCGCTGGTAATGAAATGTAGGACGCATTTACCAGCATTGTTGCCTAAAATCCCAAAGGGCTGGACGCTTTATGCATACTTCGCCAACAAGCCACATCCATCAGCAAATAACCGAGAGTAAGTAAAGCAACTATAGCATAACTAGGACGGGAGTCAGAGAGACAAACGGATTTAACATCTCAAGGAGGATCCGGAGCTATGCTTTTCTAACTTTCCTCGCCATTTCTTCTCAGCTTCCCTTCCCCCGCAGCACAAACCCAGAAGCCACTCAAACTGCCAACCGTGTCGAGTGTAACTTACTGCAGTGTGATGCAGGCGAAGGCTGGGCGCATCTCCGAAGCGAGAGCAACCGCTTTTCCGGAGAGGACCTGCGACTGCCTAGCCAGCCCTCGGGATCCCTTCCAGTTCGCACGCTCTCCGCCCGGTAAGAAGGCTGCCTCCCGGCTTGGCCTCCCCCAGAGGAGTGGAGCTTCAAGAACTCCGCTCGCAGCATCTCCTCCCCTCCACTTCCACCCCCTTCCACAACGCACGGCCCATTCTAACTAGTGTCTCAGAGATGGAAATCGACTTCCAGTCCACAACACACAGGCGGCCTGCAGCCCACCGGTCCCCGACAATTTGCTACTCCAAAACAGCGGAGGCTGAAAGATGTGGGTTTCCGGAGCCTGAAAGTCATCTGTGGCATCCCGGCTCCCCACCTCGCACTCCCGCTTCCCCTCCCATGCACGGCCACCTCCAGTCTCCCGGTTAAGTCGGGCATCACAAATGGTTATTTTATTAACCATACCAATAAGCATGCGAGGGAGACGGGATTTGTCAGAGCTTGAAATACCTGTTGTCCATGACTCATGCTCTTCTCTCATCTGTCTGAGTCCTTCATTTCTACCAAGACGCGTTGATGTTGGAAATCTGTGCAGTGTGTGCGTATGTGTGTGTGTGTGTGTGTGTGTGCGCGCGCGCGCGTGTGTGTGTGTGTGGTGAGGAGGAGGGAATCTGCGCGCAGCAAGCAACAGCCCTGCCTATCTCTAGCTGCCGCTTCTACAGCTGCTGTTGCTACTATTGCTGTTGGAGCTCAAGGAGAATGAGAGAGAGAGAGAGAGAGAGAGAGCGAGCGAGCTTTACAGCTATTTAACTGCTGGACCAGTTATAAGAGGAGGGTGGGGACTGTGCAGGTATGAGTGGCTGCTGTGGAGACATTAGGCTTGATTCACTGCAATTACTACCATTCAGGATACATTTCCCCTTCAACAGGAAACTTGATACCTGTCTTCCCTCCACCCTTTTGCTAACTATAGTCCTTGATGGGTCGTTGTTCATCAACCACTTGCCTCATCCACTTCTTGCAATTCTAACAGCTGCACACCCTATGTCTGCATTCTAACCTGGGAGCAGGTGACTGAAGGATGGATGACGATGAATGAGGAAGGCAAGGGGAAAATCAGGTGAATATTAAAAGGGAAATTGTTTGTATATGTAACCGGTCAGGGCACTTAAGATGAAAGGATAATTCTGAGCATGTGCATAAAATAATGCATTGGAGTAACACAAATGTAAGCCTGTATATAAATCATCTCTGTGTGCAAAACCAGATAGTTATTAAGGAGTGTGTTTACAAGCTTAAGTGCAGAGTATCTTGACATACACACATCTCTTGGTGGCTCTGTCCTCTGTACATAGTATCCACTGGGACTCCAATGCATTACTATTTCAGCTAGAAATTCTGTTGAAACCTACTGGTAACAGCTGTCTGTAGACTCCCCATTTCTCTCCTTATTGGTTTTTCATTCTCTGTCCTGATTTATCTCCAGCTTATTCTCACATAAGGTGAAGCTGAGCTGAACTGAGAAGTTAAGGAAGTTCTCAAAACCCACAAAGACAAGAATATTTCTTAATAACTAACGTCATTTGCTCTAGCAACAGATTGTCTTCATGTTCTTGTTCTGTAATAGACTGAATAACCATAAACAGCCCCTTCTAAATAGATACACATGCACACACGCACATATATATGCACATGCACACCACTTAATTGATAGTAGTATTTTATTTATTTATTTTGAGAGAGAGGATGAATAGGGTAGTGGCAGAGAGAGAGAGGGACAGAGAGAGACAGAATCCCAAGCAGTCTCCGTGCTGTCAGCACAAAGCCCTATGCAGGGTTTGATCTCGGGAACCATGAAATCATAACCTGATCTAAAATCAAGAGAGTTGGACAGTTAACTAATTGAGCTATTCAGGTACCCCAATTAGTAGTAGTATTAATTCACTTTCAGCATTTAGTTGCCTAAGTTAAAAATAAACTTAATTCCTTTTTAACTTTATTTATAATGCACACCATTAATTATTTCTGCTCTGCTCCGAGCAATTTTCACATTTGCCATACAGTTTCTCATTTGCTAGGGCTTATGTAATCAGGGTTAATTCAGACAGATGTTAATACAAAAAGGAGGAAGTATAACAGAAATATAACAGAAGATCCAGAAAGAGGAAAGGAACCCAAAAGGATTAAGTAATATATCTTCTCCTGTTCTGTTTATTTTAGAAAATCATTGCTTTTAGCTAAACAAAGGCCAGTTAATGGGCAAAGCATTTATCAATTATCCAGTAATTATCAATTCATCAAAACCAATCTTATGGCAATTATTATAGAAAATACACAGATTAATATTATGTTTTAAAAGTCGTACAATATACTAAATTCAAAGAGTATATGGAATTTTTAAAATGTTAAAATTCTAGTAAAACATAAGTCCAAATAGTCACATATTTTTGCCTCTTCAGTTTGTGTTTATATATTACCATTATTAAAAATCTAGGGGTTCCTGGGTGGCTCAGTCGGTTTAGCATCTGACTTTGGCTCAGGTCATGATCTCGCAGTGTGTGGGTTCAAGCTCCACATTGGGCTCTGTGCTGACAGCTCAGAGCCTGAAGCCTCTTTGGATTCCTTGTCTCCCTTTCTCTATGCCCCTTCCCTGTTCTCTCTCTCTCTCTCCCAAAAATAAACAAACATTTTTTAAAAATCTTTAAAAGAATCCAGACTCACATTCAAACTTATATTCAGTGCAATGTAGGAAAGTAGGCAAAGGTTGTCCACCCTACTTAGAAATATATTTGATAAAGAAGATCAAACTTATCCATAGATCCATGGATTTTAGAAATGTATAAGAATCTTTGTATAATTAATCAATCTCAAAAACACAGTGGCAGAGGAATAAACTTGTTCTATAAATTTCCATCAATCAACAAACCTAATAATTTCTGTGTATGTAGAAATAAATAATATCTCAATTGCCAACTAAACCTCTTTATCATCAAAACATGTATGCCTGGGGCACGTGGGTGGCTCAGTTGGTTGAGTGTCCAACTTTGGCTCTAGTCATGATCTCATGGTTCATGGGTTCAAGCCCCATGACTGGCTCGGCACTGGTAGCTCAGAGCCTGGAGCCTGCTTTGAATTCTGTGTCTCCCCCTCTCTCTGCCCCTCCGCCACTTGTGCATGCGTGCTCTCTCTCTCTCTCTTTCTCAAAAATAAATAAACAATTAAAAAATATGCATTCCCAAACTAGATTCTGTAATTCCCAAACTAAATGTTTGTGTCCTATAGAAAAGCCCAAAGATGGCAAGCTCCTCAGTGGCAGAAGCCATGGCTATTTGGTTCCCTTCCATACCCCTAGCGTCAAGCAGTGTACTTAGAATGTGCTATGTGTGCAGGAAGTAGTTTTCTAACAACTGAGTGAATGAATAAATTAATTAATGTCTGGATGCAAGATATTGGGAAGATAAGTAAACTGGGAACAAGGATGTTTAAATTCTTCCAGTCTTTACTACTAAAAAGTGTCATTTCACAGACTTTATAAAACTTTATAATAAAATATTTTCCAAAATGTTTTCTACTATATGAATTTAATCCACATTAATTTAATCCACATTAATTCCCTAAAAACTCATTTTCTGATAATTTTGCAAACCAGTAATATCAAGACTTATCCATCTCTAAGAAATGCACGGTTTCCCCCACTTTTACTTCCAAATCTGTAGTTAGTTTAGTGGGTACTGTGCTAGATGTTTGACAAAAGAGGTTGTTCACAAGAAACAATAGGTATTGGCAAGGATGCATACAAAGAGGAACCCCTTACACTGCTGGTAGGAATGTACTTAGTACAACATGCTGGAAAATAGTTTGGAGATTCCTCAAAAAGCTAAAAAAATAGAACTACCCTATGATCCACCATTGCACTATAGATATATGGAAAGGATACACAAGTACTAATTCAAAGGGATACATGTACCATGATATTTATAGTAGTGTTGTCAACAATAGTCAAATTATGGAAAGAGCCCAAATGTTCACTGACTGATAAATGGATAAAAAAGATGTGGTACACACACACACACACACAAACACACACACACTCCCTAGTCCATGGCAACACCCATTCTGATTCTCTATTACAATTCATTTTTTTTTCTTATTTCACATGTAAGGGAAACTATGCAGTATTTGTTTTTCTCTGTCTGGCTTATTTCATTTAGCATAATGTACTCCAGTTATATATATATAAACATAATGTACTCCAGTTTTATATATATATATTATATATATATATAAACATTAAAACAGTTACATATATAAACATTAAAACATTATATATAAAACATTTAAAAACATTAAACATATATATATAATGGAATATTATTCAGCTATAAGAAAGAATTAAACCTTGCCATTTGCAAGAATATGGTTACAGCTAGATACTATTTTGCTAAGTGGAAAAAGTCAGAAAAAAACAAATACTGTATGATCTCACTCATATGTGAAATTTAAGAAACAAAAGAAATGAATATAGGGGTTGGGAAGAGGGGGAAATGAAGAAACAGACTCTCAAGTATATAGAACAAACCAATGGTTACCAAAGGGAGGTGGGTGGGGGATGGGTGAAATAGGTGATGGAGATTAAGGAGGACACTTTTTGTGATGAGCACTCAGTGTGGCAGGCAAAGTGTTGAATCTCTAAATTCTACACCTGAAACTAATATTATACTGTATGTTAACTAATTGGAATTTAAATAAAAACAGAAAAAAAATGATAAGAAGTATAGACTTGTTCAAAAGAAGAGGAGGAAAAGGAGGAGGAGGGGAAAAAAGTAAGTTCTTACACATTTATATATGTTCTTAAAATGTTAGTCCTGTAATAAGGATTATAAGAAGGTAAACTTTATTGACATTCTATGAATTTTAGCAAGGTAATTCTTAAAACAATTTTATGAAAACCAGAACTTAATTAGTGATGTAGCATAGATTAAATATAAACCCATATTTATCAAGCCTTTTATGTGAACTGCTGCTTAAAAATACCTTGCCATTTTACTTTATTCAACAAATACTTGTTGAACATCTCTTTCATACAAAGCACTGGAAACAGAAACAGAGTCTATCACTCATAGCGTCTGCTTCTAAAGGACATATGGTCCCATAAATAAACATTCTTACTT